CGGGCCGCGGAGCGCCACGGCGGCCGCCTCGACGGGAACGGGGACGGTGGCCCCCTTCTCTGTGCGTGGTGTCGTCTCGGCCGAGGAGTCCGTCGGCGTCCGCAGCCCGTCGCCATCCGTGACCCCACTTGTCATGCCATCCGTGACACTTTTCGTTATACCGTCTGTGACTCCTCTCCTCGTGCTGGGCGACCGCGGTGACACGAGCGGCGCCACCGGCAGCACTTTTCGGGCCAGGGAGACATCCACGGCGGTGCGTTCGCGCGTCCGCATCCCCGCACGCCACGGGCGCTCACTCATCAGCTCCTGGCGCGTCTTCGTCGAGCTTATGCGTCGCGTCGGGGTCGTGACGGCGCTGGGCCGGTGGGCGCTGTGACACGAGCCATTTCGCCGCGGCGTGCTCGTTCGCCAAGGCCGCTCGTTCATCACTTCGCTGCGGCTCTTCTGAGGGACTTCCCGCCTCGGAGTCGTCTTCGCGCGGGCGGGGGGGCGACCTCCCGAGATCGGGAACGGCGCCTTGCGGCGAGGCCTCGGCTGCTCCTCCTCGTTTTCATCTGCACCCGACGGCGAAGCTCCACGGATACCGGATGGGGCGCCATGCGTGCCAGTTTCTTCGCTTAGCTCAACCGCGCTACCCTGCACAGGCTCCGTCTTCGGCTCAAAGTGCGTTGCTTCAGTGATGGATTCGATCTCGAACACGATATCCGAACGCTCTGGGGCGACCATTCGGGCTGGTGTGATATCTCGTACATCAAATTGGATGCTATCGTGGCTTTTCCGACGTAGTCGCATCGCGGATATGATTGACGGCTCAGTTCGAAAGCTGATAGTATCCGTATTCGAAATGGCGATAAGACTGTTCTCCTCGACGAAGTTTATGGATTCGCACCTGTGTGGCATCCTAGGGGGCCCAGAAATGGATGTTCTGGAGTGCATTGGTCTGTCTTTTTCATCATCTTCGTCTGAAATTGTACCCCTTTGGTGTGCAGGAGAGGACCTTCCTACGTCAGACGTGTCACCATTCCGACGAAAGCGTCTTGGGGGTGTTTGTGGGGGCCTGGGATTAGAATGTTTGTGCGCGGAAAACCCTCGGGTTCTGGGTACCGGCGGCGCCACCTTTACCGCAATGCCCAGGGCACTCATCTTAATGGAATAATGATGTAATAGAGATATTCTAATGCCCTTCAACCTATCAATCAAACTATGCGATCAAAGCGCCGCTATTCATACAAAAGGAAAGGGAGAGTATGCAATAAATTCATCTGCTTTAATCCCCCCCGTTAGATGTAAACGCATGTTGGGAGCAATGCAAAACTCCCTTCCCCCCCCAGGAGTAGCCTTTTTTCCTTTAACATACTTTCAGAGCGCTCAACGCTACACTTAGTAGTATGCGTGTGTAGGTCATGTACACCATTGGGAGGCTCAAGTGTGAGAGAGAATTCTTAGTAGGGTAAACCGAACATTGTGTACGTAATGAATTCATTTACTTTCCCTTCTACCTACACATGGTTGAGCCCCCAAAGATAAACCAAAGTTGGGGAAACCTGAATATGTAGTCATTACTACTTTTACGAGCTTTTTTACTCACCTTACTTGGCCTCATTGCTAGCTGATGTCTTGTTTTCCCAACTAGAGGAAACCAAAGGAAATGAGAGAGAAAAATGACATTATAAAAGAATTCAAAAAAAATACGATAATGGGAAGTGTGACTGCGCGTAAACACTCACACACGCACGCACAGACAGGAAAAACAACAACGTACCGACTCACAATGGTAGTAATCATAGTGAGGAAAAATAGTGACTACCCCGAGGTAATGAGCAGCAAAAAGTTCACTCTATGTTCAGACATCCTTTTGTAGTATGTACTGATTTTAGAAATTCGTCACACCTCTTCTTTTTCTTACTTGAATAACAGTAGCAGCAGTATGCCCCATTTGCAGGAGACTCTGCTGATCGACCCATTTCCCCCCTTCTATTCTTTTCTGAAATTTTCCTCAACTCATTTTTTTTTGGATTACCCTTCTAAAAATAGAGACTTAATACAAACGGATAATGAAAAAGAAGGGGCATGTTTAATCATGCCACATTTACTCTGACCTCCTTCGCTTCACACCTCAAAGAAAAGCATACCTACGTGCCGAGTATCGTATTGTGATACTTAATACTACCTCCGATCGCTAAGCTCAGGTGCTCTCTCTCGAGGGCCATCTCGCGCCCCCTTGAAGAGGGGGCGGTATGCCTTTTTTCTACGACACAAAAAATATATTTAAAAACAAGAAACCACCCATTCTTAACGGGCTCACCCTCGCACACGATATGCTATAAAAGTATCGCTAAATACCATTAGAAGGTCTATCCAGGGAGTAGGTGAATACTCGATGAAACGGTTTCTTCTCTTTTTTTGAAAAGGAACGCCCCCCTCCCTCCCTCGAAAGGAGGAGGGGAAAGGGAGGCGACGACGACAACTCCCGAATTGAATCAAGATAGGAATGATGACAAGTGATCTAAAGAAATCCATTTTTAATCGGGGTGGTGGTCCTCGACAAGCTCTTCTAACCTCTACATAGAGGCATGTGTGTGTGTGTGGAGAGGGAAACCGAACGATTTGGACTAAGTTAGACAACCACAAGCGGTGGGCACGGCTGCCTCCGCACAATTTTGCTGCATAACGACCCCATGCCTTTTTTCCTCTTTTTTTTTAAAAAAATTATTGCGATAAGGTTCTCGCTTCTTTCTTTTTGGACCCTTTACCTGGGAGAGGTGGGGGGAACGGGGGGTGGAAGAGGAAAGCCCGCCGCCCCCACGCGGTTGTTCGTCCTTACACAAAAGGATTGGGTGCCTCGGATGGGATGGGTTCTTCGTCATCGATCGGGGCGTCATCCTCGAGACCGGTGAGGATCGGCTGGCTTTCCGGCGACCCCCCCAAGGCGTCGTCGAGGCCGCGGCGAGGGGCGTCCTCCGGCGTGATCGGCTGCACCCGGCTCAGCTCCTCCTCCCACGACCCCCCCAGCCCAACCTTCCCCACCAGCGGGCGCAGGGGGGAGTGGGAGCGACGCGAGAC